TCCAACAAAATATAAGGTTATTTTTAACCAACCCACAATAGACATCATTCTGAAAAGGGAAGGTGCTTACATTTCTTATCGTTTGACACTACCATCACATGGAAAGTGCTGATCAGTACCCGTACCCTGTTCACCGGGAGTCTTCTGTTAAATAGCTGGGAAGAGCCCATTCCTGCCCAGAAATGCAAACAACCCAAGTCAAACATAGTAAGTGGGAGTAAAAAATTACCAGAGGCGACAGAGGCCCCATCATTAGTGCTCAAACAGTGATCTGCCTCCTGTACCAGTGCATGACAAAGATTGCACAACAGCAACAAAAGCAGTGAGCTGACGTTAGAGTATTTCTAAAATAGTATGACTTATTTCTCAAAAACTACTCTTACCAGGGTACAATGCTAATAAAGACTTTCAGTTCCTTATAGGACAGTATCAATCTGGGATCGAGCTAATATGAGGGAACTTGCCCATGTCATGCAACTATTTTCACTATTATATGAGAGTTTCAGAAAGTATCATGGTCTTAAAACTATGCCTTTGCTCTTTTCTGAATCACTAACTTGGAGGAGGCTTAGGGAACAGAAGCAACATTGTTTTTCTGAAAACCACTCCACTGAAAACAGACCAGATGCAGTCAGAAAGCTCCAAGGATCATCGGGAGTATGCGTTGTAGCTAGATGGACTCGCCACCCAAAAATCACCTACAAGAAGATGGCAGGGTTTCGACAGGCACCACCGCTGCCCTGAGGCAGTACTAGCAGCCTAGGGCTGCTCCCAGTGCACAGACGCAACTTGCCAATTAAAAGCTGTTTTCACCCCTAATCTCCAGGAAAGTCTTCTGTGTATGGGTTCAGGAAGAAAAAAGATCATTTCTAAGTAAATATGGAGAGATTTAAAATGAATAACATACTACAATAAAATTATAATTAAAGCATTTAATAGTCATACTTTCTTTCATATTGTACGGGGAAATTTCAAGACCTGCTTGCGCACTAGGTATTATTATAAGACATGACTTAGCCCTAATCTTTTCAAGCAACTAAAGACTTTAGTATGGAAGCAGACTACTTGACACAATGCAATGAAAGGGGATTAGTTTCTCATAAATGTTCCAACAAGGCAGTAATCCCTGTGAATTAATTACAATTTAGGATGTCTTCCATTGATTTAGAACACATTTTTTAAAGTAAATCGCTGTTTTTCAAACCACTCAAAAAATCTTTATCTTTAGAATTAATACATGATGGAGTTTTAATATCTTTTTTATGCTTTCTATGATTATGTTTGCTTTTCATATTTCAAGAGAATAATAATCTTTTATTTCAAAACATAGTATTTTAAAAAGTTTCCCTGAAAATGCATTTCTATCTATTTGAAGAAAAAAACCCAACAAACCCTTAAAAAGAAAAATCCTTTAAAACAGCCCAAATTGCCAACCAGATAACATCTGAATAAAAGAAACCTCTAATAGCTACATTTGTTCTTACAGAGGCTCTTTTGTTGGGGTTGAAAAAGCAAAAACACTAGTACAAGCACTGGCACAAAGTCAGTGCCCTCTGAAGACTGTTCAGCTCAGGAACAAGCTGAAATCACTGTGATGAAATTGCAGTGAGGAAATAAGGACAAAAAAGCCCTCAGCTCTCTCTCTACTGATAACAATAGAGGTTCTTATTTATTTTGGGGTTTAGCTCAAATAACTTTTTTAAAAAGATTTCCCTTCAGCATTTTAATTACTGTAACTACTCCTCTAACCACTATTCTGGTTATAAGAATCATTCCTGCCACCAAAATCAACTGTTACTTAATTGGGCAGTGACCAAATCACAGCACTGTATCTCTCTTAGCAGCTGGACAGTAGAGAAGTGATATGGTTGTAACTGTGTGTGCCTAATGCTTTATCAATCTCACACACAGCACTGAGCGTCCTCATAAAGTGGAAAGGATGCCCAAGTGGATTAGGAAAAACTGTTAAGCAAATCGCTGCTCCGTAGCTTGTCCTGTAGACTCACAGCACTTGGAGATGTATCTGAGCCATTTGGCTGAGGAACCATTACTCCATTGCTCCCCACAGATCAGCTGTGCAGGTCCTATCTGTAGCTGTCTTCCCTGGAGGCTGTGGGATCTGCGCCTTCTAAAAAAGTGACATCGAATCTTCCTGGTTTATTTTTATAATCGCTATTTTTATTTTGAATGAACAAGGAACTGTGTGGCAGCGAAGGATAGACGTGATCTCATCACCCTCAGACTACCTTTCAGACGAACAGCGGAGGCGTTTCTTGCAAACCAGCACAGAAGGACGTAAGCGCACTGTGGGCACGCTTGTGAGAATAACAGCCTCCTCCGAGCCGCTCCTGTGCTCCCCGCTGCGAGCGGCGCGTGGGGCACGACCCTGCCTCCCGTGGAGCAGCAGCTCAGCCCGGCCGGCCTGGCCCGCTTCTCCGGTCACGCGCCACTTCCAACCCCGAGTTTCCCAAGCCGTGACCCAATCCTGAAACCACACAAAGCCCTTCTGCACCGTGTCAGCGTTCGTGTGTGAAGGGAGGTGAGGGAAGCGGGGGTTAAAGCTGCCCGTTCCCAGAGCAGCCCTTCTCCTCCGGCAGGAGGAAGGTCGAGGAGAACCTAAGGATGCACCAACCTGGTCTGGTGCCTCTTCAGAGACCCAGGCACCAACGTGTTAGTCCAGGCCTCGGAGGATCGGCGTCTTCATGAAAAGCCCGCCCGCTCACAAATGACATTCACCATCAGTTCCGCTGACATGGATAAAGCCTGGCTGGGAAGTGGACCTGGTCACAATCTAATGATCTGTCAAGGATATCTGAGCTGCTACTGCCCTCGCCGAACCCCTCCAACACGTAACTCAGGGCTGGCTGCTTTCAGAGCTTCACGATTCGGTATGTTTTGCTAGCACTTTATTTTTTTTTCTCCATTGAAACAGAGAGAGATGGAAGGAACAATGCAAAAAGCAATGTCAATGGGGGGGAAAAGTAGGATAGACAAAGGTAAGGACATAATATGGATATTCAATATTCTGGCCTCAATCACTGGTTACAAATTCCTGTTTGGAAAAAAAAAGACCAATAAAAAAAAAAAATATTTGGAAATATTTTTCCTTCCAATCCCTCCATCTCCAAATTATTGCCCAATTCACCCAGAAAAATCTATTTCTGGCCTTCCCAGCCTTTGTACAAACTGCTGCTGCTTCCCTTTTACAACGGTTGTCTTACCCCTTTCTAGACAAAACTCTTAGGTGCCACAGATGGCTGAATTATGGAGGAACTAGCCAAATCTGTACTTGCCCTTCCTACTCCCAAACTACCATGATGACTAATCTGTCTGACTGTGTTAGCTGTTGTTTCAGAATTATAGTATTAAAGCTACAGGCACCTGGCAGCTATTTTTAGTGAAATTTTCTCATTTATGTCATGATTTACACACAAATACCACAGTGTCAATTTTTCAAAGGCAATAACTTGCTATGAAGAAATTGTATATATTGATTGTCTGACACTAAACATTTTGAATCTTAGGCTATTAGCACAAGAGAACCATAAAAATCTGATGCTTTCATTGTTCTGCAAAAATTGTTTCATCTTACCAAGACTATTACACATACCCAGCAGATTTCAACTCAGTCAGGAGACTAAAAATGCCCAATTAGCTTAAGAAACACTGTTTTCCAAGTATATAGTCACATGATTTCCACAGAGGCCGTATCATTATGTCATAAAAAGGAGTAGCATCAAATATGTTTTCATGAAGAATTTTTTTTTCTGAAACATTTTAAATCCACTTCCATCTTCAAGACAAACATTCATGTATTGTTTCACAAAATTCTCACACTGCACGTCAGTTCAGAAAGTAACTCATTCTACAAATGAAGCCAGTAAAAAATGTCACGTGGTCTTATCATAGATGAAAACATGTAACTGAAAACTTTACTCTAAACCAGTAATGAATTCAAACCCCAATTCCAGAGTGTCCAAGGTTAAATCCAAATGCTTTTAAATTTGGAAGAAGTCAAATTAACATCCATATATATATATTTGACATCGATGCTTTTTCAAGCTTGTTGTGGGGTTATTTCCAGCTTGACTTCAGTTCCTTAGTTCAGACCATGACCTATTTCCAAGCCAGTTCTGTTAGTATAAGAAGTATTCTGGCCAGAGCAGTGACACAGACATCTTCCTTTTTTTTTGCCCCCTTTTCTTTTTAATGAGAACATTTTCTTTAAGAATGAATTTCATTAAAAAGACTATCAAAATCTTTCCTTCCTAGTATGTTACGTATTCATTTAGTTTTCCAATGATGTATCTGATGCTGCAAGTTTTTGTTTCTCAGCACTTCTCTTTGCCCTGGACCTCGCAGTTGGAGATGACATGACATAACCCTAGCAACATCAGTGGCCTGCACTATTACACCCATTCTATTCTTTTGAAACCCCACTAAAACTGAAGCATATTATAAAATAATGGCTTCCTCCTCAAACACAATTTTGCAAAAATTATACTGCTTGTCTGTGAGGAAAGGCATACCTAAACAAGTTCATGTCTTCCACAAGCACCTGGGCCAGCTACGGTGGGGCAAGCGTGCAGAGGACCAGCACAATACTGGCACGACAGGGGAAAACCAGCATCGTGATCCCGATCAGACTTACCACTAGTGGCAGGATACTGACTGGCAGCAGGGCAGCGAAGCGCACCATTTCATATGATGTGGTAACAGATACTGGCCTTGTTCGTGGGCCGTTTGGAGAGGTGCTGTTACAGGAACTAGCGCACACAGACCTTTGCTCAGACCAATGGCTAGATGGCAATTTTAGCGCAAACCAACAAAAGGCTGAAGATTACATTATTAAATCTAATCCATACAGACTGATCATGACACTGTTCTGACCTATGTGTCCGTTTATGTACTAAAATAAAAGACATAGTTTCATACATCCCAGATCTCATTAACCCTTTAGCTGGTGGAATTCAATCCCGTATAGTTTGGACATACCATACCTCACTAAACTGTTGGCAGTGTCAGGATCTTGTGCCGTTACTGTGCCAACAGCAGTCCCGATCTTTGCATTTTCATAAACTTCCATGACATAGGAAGGCATAGTGAAAAGCGGAGGTTCATCCACATCGCCAACAATGATCTTCAACATTGTTACATCTTTGAATGGTCCCAAGTGCGAAAAACGGAAATCAACGTGAGTATTTGCTCCTTCTATATTAAGTGTATATGATTTCTTTTTTTCGTAGTTGAGCGGCTGTTGGCAGAAAAAAAGATTTATCAATGCCATTCTATGCTTCAGTTTAGCCTGCTAGCACGAAGTTTCCAACAGTCTCAGAACACAGGCATAACACTAAAAGAAGATGCATACATGTAGAATTTTTTTTTTAGAATTGAAATTATTATAACAGTATGGTATGGCAGAATTCCACTACAACCAGTATCGTTCTTTGTGGATCTGACAGCCTGCCTGAACAGAACTCAGTACAAGTATTCAAGCCTTTGATCAAGGCTAAACTGGTATTTTGTATCACCCCAAAGAGTGGAAAAGTAGTACTTAAGACAAGAGATATGAGGAAGGCAATGTGTGATTTCTCAACGTCAGCGTGTATTTTGTTGATAAAATCTGTTGTAAATTTGACTGATGATGTATAAGAAAAATAGATAGTCAGGATTTATATATACTATGTTTCTTTGATTTCTCCTGTGTGTATTGAAGTACAACTAATTCATTCTCTTAACTCTAATAGGATGAGACTTTTTTGTATTTTGCTTTCTCTGTCTCCCTTTCCTGAATGTAAAAATAAAAATTTTAAAGCCATGGAAATTTACCATAGTCTGATAAATCTATTACTATTAAAAAAAAGAGCTAAGTCATCTACTCAATTAAATCAATTCATAAAGAAATACAAGTTTAGTAAATTCTAACTGTTGTTCATTAATTTATGATGTATTTATGTTATGAGCAGGTAAGTATTAAATAGTAATTTGCATTGCTCTGCAGCACATATATTCTAAGATTAAAAAAGTTTACAAAAGGATTGCAAATTGTAACTATTGTGCCTTTTGGAAAAATAAGTTTCTACTGACAATGACTGGATTAGGTTGTATAGGAAGATTAATTTCTCCCAGAAAACACATGAGGAATAAAACAGTCTTGTTTTCTTTCTTTTGTGTAGTTACTTAATCAGACAATACCAACACTTTTTTTTTTGTCTAGAAATACAAGAATAATCCATTCAGATAATCAGAAAAAGCTGACATTTCAACCATAGCCAAAGCAGTTTTTTACTTTCATTTTCTTCCTTCTTCTTCCCACAACATCTCTGAATTAAGGAATCAGATACTGGGACATAATAGAAGAAGAGCTTACTCTCCTGCACTGTGATTCATAGAGCTTAAAAAACAACACTATTTTCAACGTTGAGGTATTTTAGACAGAAAAGACACATATTGTACTAAGGTATACTATTATCAGAAATCACAATTAGTTGTGGTGGGGTTTTTTGGGGTTTTTTTTGGTTTTTTTTTTTAATTTTCCTTGTTCTCTCCTGAGGAGAAGTAAGGAAATTTACAAAGCAAAGCAAGCTCTGTGATATTCCACATCTTTGAACAACTCACAAGTCCAGTTGTTACATCACTTTTCCTTTTCCTTCTTATAAAATATTAAAAAATTGAAATCTGGATACAATTCGAATTAACAGAACTGTATTTTGCTGGGCTTCCGCTTAAACACTGTGCATTTGTTAAAACTAACATTTATCTTACATTTGAAGAACAAATTGGGCCCCCACTTATAGCCTGTCTAATGGTGTGCTAAGAAACTTCTCATAGACTCATTCATTATTTCAGGTAATCTGAGCTGTTTACCAGTAGGAGCTTTTTATTCCCCTCTTTTTTTTTTTTATATTTTATAACCTATTAATCATAACGTTCATCTTAAAATACCTAAGCTATTCTAATTCAGCAAGAGTTTGGGAATAAAAATGATAATGCAAAATAATTTATATTTACAAAGGAAATATTTCAGCTGTCCCATCAAATTCACAACAGGACTCATTTAAGTCCAAATAGCCAAACAGAAAGATGTGGCTCTGTCCTGTCTGACCCCTTGCTCTCTCCAAGAGAAGCAAATACACAAATAAATGACTTGTAAAGACATTCACTTGTAATGTGTAAAACCTAAGTTTAAATTCTCCCTCATTTAACTCACAGAGAGGCCTTGAATATCAGTCGCCTGTCTCAGTCATTAGCTGTAGTATTTTCCTGTCTCTCTAGAAATCTAGATAATTTCTAGATTTACTTAAAATTGTCCCAACATTGAAGTTCATTAACTCTTTCCTGAAAAGAAAACAAAACATTTAGATTTTAGATGGACCTAAACAGAATTTTTGTTCGTGTTTCCTCTTTTCCCAAAGAACAATGTATTTCCAATACAATTACCCACACATCTTCAGTGTGTGTTCATTGTTTATTATGATTTTCATGCAAAACTGAAAATACTCCATGTAGCTCAAGTGACCAGTCACAGGGCTTACTGGAAAATACTGCTGTTCATTATACTGCAGTCTGTTTTTCTAATATCCAACTCCCCAAAGGACAGCAGAATTTTATGAGAAGTAAATAGCTGTTTCCTGAACATTTCCAGTCTCATTATACAAAATGGAAGAGATATGGTCTGTTCAGACCATTTTGTCTGGGAAGCCTGAACGATACTTGCTGACTTGAGGTCAGGAAAGTTCTAGCTTACTTCTCCGAAAATCACAAGGGGGGAACATGCTGACCAGTCATTCTCTGAAGGATCCAGACAGTAATGCCTTTCACTGTGCTATTTTGTTCTGGGTTTCTCTAGTCTCCCACTTGAACAAGGAATTGCATGAGGCAAAGGGGAAATCCTTCACGCCAGTTTGCAATCAACCCTTTGTAGCTGAAGGGTGGCTCCACAGGGCTTGTCAATAGAGGAGATAATGAAAGTACCGGATGTTTTGGGTCAGCCCAGAATAAGACTAGAAAAGATTCCTTCCAGCACTCATGGACTCTGCATGCCTGTTGAACAGCCTAGCACGGAGGCACTGAGAAATTTGATTTTTGCATCAGAGCCTTAAATAAGAAGCTTCAAACAGTTTGAGAACAACTTCAGATCTTCGGACACAATGATATATTTACTTCTGGCTTTTCTGATGTGCCTACTATACATTCTTCTAGAGACTTATTAGAGGACAAATCATTCTATTTTATTTTTATAGAAGGTAGTGGCATCTGATATATGCAACAAAACCCATTCCATTCTTAGTAGGGATTATCTGTTTTGTGTAGGCTATCAAACTAATTCAGCTTCAAACCCAATCATCTAAATCAAAAGTAATTACAGCACACAGTATACGAAATACTTGTTAAACTGCATTCAAGATCTGAGTAAAAAAAAATTTAAAAAATGAGATCACCTTTTTGTACTGTACAAGCGGATACTGTAACTTCTCTGAGGAAAGAATGGAGGTATTCCACACCAATTTACGTAGCTTTAAAAGCTGAATTTCTGCTCAACTGAAATATAACATTACCTAAGCAAAATGTATCCCTTCTTGTCTTGATGGCAAAATGACTCAAATCACTGTTGTGTGTATGTGTAAGAACAGGCAACATATGCTTTTGTCACATTCTAAAACATAGTCAAAATTTTTCTGAAGCTATTTTGTCTGCCAAGAAACAGTAAGAAATGTGATTTTACACTTTTTATGTATGGACTCTTTCATTTTGTTGCAAATTCTTCCTTTCTGCTTCATGTTCTCAACAGGCATAAATTTAATGAACAATAGTCATGGTGAACTTTTAAACGAGAACCAACGCTCATTTTGAAGAAGAAATAACAGATTATGGCATTAGCTACATCAAAGCCACCAAGAAATAAGTTCGGTGGTATAAAAAAGATGGAGTTTATTTTCATGTGGCTGAACATGGTGGGTATTACACAACCTTTATAAAAGACTCTGAATTGAAGCTTTTTAAGATACTGGGAGAGATAGGAACCGTTTTTAAAACATCATGAATTATAAAAATAACATTTCCTTCTGTTACAAAATATTTTTTAAGATGTTAAACAAAAATTTACATACATACATACCTACCTATTCAGATGCAAAAAAGTAACATTCTTTATGACAGTTTTTATTTATTCTCTTTTCCCACATTTTGCTGGGTTTCATTCCTCCTACCGTTAATCAGGCCCAGAATACTTATTATGAAATATGAATACAAATTCACTTTTATTTTTTAGGCTGTACGGATTTAATTGATTCCTGTAAGACTCAATAACAACAAATCCACATGAGAATTGCTAACTGATGTCTGTTAGTCCAAGTAATAACTGAAATCAAGAAATTATTTCCCTTTGCTGGAAAGGTTTTTAAAAAAATGTTACTTAAATACAATAACCCATCTTTCTGGCTTATTATATATGTACATTTAAATCTAGCCATAGAATATTAGCGTAAGTTGGCAGACACATCAGGAAACATTCACTATGAACTCAGTTCAGAGGACTTAATATGGAGACGAAACTATCTATGGAATTATATTTGTGCATGGAATTCAGTTAAGAATGAAATTAAATTGCAAGAACACTTTATAATTAATAGTTTGAATAGACTGGTATAAATATAGGAAATTCATATATATGATAACTGTGTGATGGCTTGACCATTTACATTTTGACTCTTTATAAGCAAGTCAGTATTTACATTACACAGTGCACAATACTTGACTATTTAGAAGCCAGCTAGCAAGTCAAAGAATAACAGCCTACGAAAACTGAATCATACATTCATTGCCACAGATAAAACTTTCTGTGTCAAGATTCATACAGTTTGTACAACTTTCAGCCAAATTTTACTTCTTTGAAAGAAATTAATGTGCAAAACCATCATTCAGAAAAATTAAACCATCATAATAAAAAATTCAGTAAGATTTAGTTTATTATAAATATTAGATATGACCATTCAAAAAGCACAGAAGATTTAAATAACTGTTTTTTTTCCCTGAATTTCTTTTCTCCCTGCCTTTCCTGCAAAGATTTAAAGTCTCAGGAAGCGATGTGGAAAAGCTTACACTGCTGAAGTTCATGGTTCAATAGGTTTACACGGTAAAATATTTTCATCATTGTATCTGCTTATTCAGCATTCATCATTACATTTTAATTACATACACAGGTAACTTTCAAAGTCTATTGCTTACCTTCTTCAGGGAAAGAATTCCTTCCCTTGTTTCTTTGTCAGTAGATATGGAGAACACCCCAGAGCCATCACCATTTATAATCGTATACTTCATGTCTGCATTTGAACCAGTGTCTGCATCATTTGCTTTGATTTTGCCAACTGCTGATCCAACTTGAGCTGATTCAGGAACATAGAGTTGATAATGTTCTGAAGGGGGGAAAAAAAAAACCACAACAGCTTGGACATTGTTATGTGCTCGATGCACTTCTGAGTAACGGGAGAGTATTTCATATGCAAAACTGACAAATAAACCTATGAACTTATTTAAATTCCTGAAAGAATTCAAAAGGGATTTGTATTTTACTTGGGATGCCTTCGTTCCCTATTCAAAATCCAAATTATCTAATGCAGGATTTTAGTTTTCAGTTATTTTTGCTGTTCATCACATAACACAGGAATTAACTCTGAAGCTTACTTCAAAACAGTATTTTTAAAAGTTTATCTTCTCCATAACCAAAATATATTTATCTCCACCAACTTACCATCAAATGAGTAGTCAAATGGCTACTCTTGAACTGGAAAAATCTTTGTATAATTTGTTTTTCTGAAATTCAATCAGTTTTGCAACATCACATCAACATTTTTGCAACACTGAATCAGCACACATTTTGCAACATTGAATTAACATGTATTTTTTTCTACAGAAAAATATAGTAAATCTGAATATTTTACCATTACCACTTTATAGTGGTTTTGTTGCAGCACAAAACACTTTGCACACAAATTTTAATCGGTATCCATGGTAAAGGAAAGTGAACATAATGTGTACATAAAAGTTTTACACAATTGTGCCCATAAACCACCCATAACAACTATGACCGCCTTTCAGTGTTTTTATAACCTGTTAGGTTAATCATTAGAAAATGAAATATTTTTTTGAAAGGTAATTTTCTTCACTGTTTCTATCCTCTTGGATTAAATCTCCTAACAGGTGCAAACTTGCCTGGGGGACAAGAAGGTGCCACAAGGAGAAAAAAGTGGCAAACAGACACCATGCGATTACATAAACCTCAATTTGTCTGAAACTAGGCCACAAAAACAGCTCAAAGAAATTTTCTCCTATAATGCTAGTGTTGTACACAGCAGGGATGCAGAAACCTACCGGCACTAAAAAGGAGAATACACGTTCAATAGAAGGTGTGCACATAGCAAATCTCTCCCCTCCAACAACCCCCCATCTGAATCCCCCCCCAACAGCCTGCACACTTCACATCACAGGCCAACCACCACTATAGAAAAGAGAGCAAAATAACAACTTCTGTTATTACAGATCTTCTGAAACTGCAGAGTTTCTTCTATATTCCTCTTGGGCATTCTGCGATAGTGAATGCAATAGTGCAACACTGAGGTGCAGGACAGTGGCACAGAAGATGCTACGTATCAAAGCTAACGTGTTGTTACAGTTTGCCGAGTTTAAACCAGCTAGCATGACTGCAGAGCTGCTCTCGGGAAGCAGGTAGAAAGGCAAAATTTAAATTGAATTCAGAGATAAAACCTGCATTATGGCAGAAAACCACTATTTGTTGGATGGATTGAAGAAATTATGAATCTACAGAAGTTGCAACTGCAGAGGGAATGGATGTTATCACTAAAATAAAACTAACTTTAGACACCTGTTAGAAAATAGAAGGTTTTATTACAGATGTCTCTAATTCCTTGCACAATGGTTCCTAAACTTATTTATAGTCTTGAATTGTTTTTTTTAATACTAGCCGATAATACTAATAAACAAACGGTAGTGTGAGAAGGATGGAAGAGTGCACTAAGCTTTGTTAGTCCAAAAGGAAAGAGAGGTTTCCTAGGGGAAAAAAAAAAAGTTACCATGCATTAAAAAAGCTCAAGGGAAACAAGAAATGTCCAGTAGAACAAGAGAAAAAGTATAATTTACCATGTAAAGAAGAAAATACCAACACTGATGTAGCAGGAAAATTGCTTAGTAGTTGATTCAATTAAAACACACCGTTAGCTCTTTGACGCAATTCTTTGATATGCATATAAAAGCCACCTTCACAAATTTCCAAATAAATGCTCTGCCATGCATTCTTTTGCAATGCTTCATGCTTACAGATGATGTCAACTGACATTTTCATATTGCTGGTTGCTTTATTTCATACATAAAATTATAGTGATCAGACAAGATCCATTTTGGAATTTACTTATTGTTAAAATAAGTGTGAAATGTGGTCTTTTGACACTTTTGCTCTGACTATTGCATTCCAAAAAGGAAAAGGTTGAGACCGTAAAGAATATGTTATGTAGAGGCCATAAAGAATGTGTTATGTAATCAAGCCACTTCAGGAACTGGAAGTGTTATAACCCATATGATAGGGTGAACTAATTAGAGACTTCCAAATAGTCAAGCTAGTTCAAATATATCCTCATGACACTACACTCTGCTTTATAATCACACCCCAAGTGTTAGCCATCTGTTTCAGAAAATCATTTTACTGATACCAGCTTCAAACATTCTGAAATACTAAAACCTCAAGCAAAACAAATATTTGAAATCGCTTATTAATTATCTGTCAGTATTTGTAGAACTGACGTGTTTCAAAAAAATGGATGGAGTGAAAAGAAAACTGTTAAAAAATAAACCCTCTTAGATTATAAGGTCAGGAATGTCTCCCAACAAGTATTTAACCACTGCTTCAGAGACAGCCTGAAGATGTCTCATACAGACGTGAGCCAAATAGATAATTACAAACAATACTATCTAAACCCAACAAACACATAAGAGGATAAAATTCAGCAACATGGTTAGATAAAATATATTATAGACATTTATTTAGACTAGCGGTGGAAACTGGGAATGTTCTACTAAACACTAAATTGTTGTAAACTTTATTACTGGAAAGTAGAGGAACCAACTAAAGGCTGAACTGAACATTTCCTTGGGCATTGAATAAATTTTGATAGGATGTTAAAAATAATGTGGGATGCACATACTGTCAATTTATGATTCTTTATGGTAAGCTATGAGTCTGTCTCAACCCTCTAAAAATTGGTTGGGAAGTTAGGAGCCCTGAGGAACAGATACCAGTCTGTATTAAAACTGTTTCACCAAATCTGCCCAAGTTGAACAGATTGTTCCTACGGTCCCAGCATCACAGCCTTCCAGGAGCTGTTGTAAAGCAGAAATTTCAAACAGTCTTGGGGATGCTCTGAACTGTTCTAGAGGGGCTGCCCAGTGGGTTACGGATCAAGATTTTGTAGAGGTTGATTTGGTTCTCAATTTTTATATTAACATTCATTCAGATGCATTCACTTAGCTCATGAAATGAGTAAATTAATACTCTTTTCCAGTTAATGTACTGTATAGGATAGTTATATCACTTTGCAGGATTTAATCTATGCTAATTGAAACATCGTTCAAATGCATACAGGTGATCTTCATCTTTCTTTCAATAAACTATATGGCTTATCTGTCATTATAGTACAGAAACAATTTATTGATCTGTAGAACAATTTACTTCTCATTTCAATAAGCCTACAGGCAACCTATAATGCTGTGTTTTACCCTCAGAAAAGCAATTCCTCTGTCTGAATCTCTCTCAAAAAAATTATGACAGTATTTAATGCAACTCAATAAGCATGTTACTTTATTGTATTCATTAATCTATTTTGTTGATAGTTTTGACTTACTTTTATAGGTTATAATGTCCTCTTGAACAGCAGGAATTACCTTACTTAACAAAGGAAGGGAGGAGAGGCATAATACTGAACGAGCAGAGAAATAAGCAAGTATTTGGCCTGCTTGTTACTTGTTTATCCAAGGTATAGTTTTAGTAACATAAGGATAAATACTGCTTGGTGATGAACCAATGGATGCATTCGTTCACACATCACAGCTCATACGCCGATACCTTTCTCTATCTACTAGCAAACTGATAAACACAGCAACTGATTGCTTTAACACAAAATATCACCATATCCTAAATGTATATCAAAGTGCTATGTGAAGAAAGTTTGCTTGAACCCACAACTAGCTAAGTACTCAGTCATGAGCCAAACTGATAACATATGGAGAAAAAATGGACAGTGAGCCAGGCTCAAAGTCTGATTATTCAGACTGGCAGCCAATTAACAATCAAAATTGTGGCCAAAACTATTTAATGTCTTAATTAATGACCTGAATGACAGGGTGCATGTACTTGCAGCAAGCGAATGGACAGTATCAACTTGGGAAAAAGTGGTCAATGTGCTGGAGGGCAGGGCTGCTCTTCAAAGGGACCTGGACAGGCCGGAGAAATGGGCTGACAGGAACCTCACGGCGTTCAATGACAGCGCCGGGGGAGGAAGAATGCCATTCACCAGTACTTCCACAGGACTTTCCTGTCGGTATTGAATACCCAAATACACATTTTTTTATGCAAATGGTGTGGGAAAAACAACATATACACTCCATAATCATCACTAATGAGCAACTTAACAGTTGGGCATGATCTGTAGCAGTCTCTAGAGCTGTGCTGTGTTGAGGATATTCTATGCCATTTATAGGAGGACCACGGCTACATCAGGCACCTTGGGTCAGCAGAGAGCAATAGCAACACCTGTAAAAGGCATATGCTCCATTTGGACGTGTTTCGTTTTGTTGTTTGTTTGTTTTTCCCTGGCATTACCACAGCTAGGATTGTGGTCCCACTGGGGTTTAGGTTTTTATCCTTTATAAAGGATACAAAAATGAAGGGAGATCTGAAGACTAACCCTTAAAATGGAGTGGTCCTGCTCCCAATTCTCCATCAGTAAACAAACAAAACAAACAAACAACCCCCCTCATTCCCAAAATCATTACTGCCTCATTCAGAACCCTTACAGAATTTTTTTTTATTATTTCAAAATTATTTTGATATGTATGATGTATGTAATGAATAATCTACCTTGCACATAGAAATTCTCATAGACAATACCCAATTAAGTGAAATAAAAACCACTGCTAGACTCCATCCTAGTTAGGAGTAAAGTTGATGCACATAGCTGGCATTAAAGCTCAGTATACAGAACACATATTTTCTACAAATATTTAGTCAGACTATAAATATATTTTTGCCCCTCCCAGCTTCCCTTTATATTTGAATTCTGCAAACAATTCTCTGATCAAGTTTTATTGTCATGAATTCTTGTTAAAGAAGATTTTGAATCCAATACTT